GCGTGTCATCCCGCAGGGGCCAGGCTCTCCCAACCAGGAGGGAATTCTCACACATTCAATAGACCCAAACCGGAAAATGAAAGCGTTTTAGTGGAAAAGGACACGTTCACCCCTCCCCGTTTTCATTTAACAGTGGTGGGGGATCCCTCAAAACCTGCCTACCCCCTCAAGGACCCATCCCCCACACCCCTTGTTGTAAGCTAACGCTTGATAAGGAAGTGAATCTGGACCCGGAGGCTAGCTTTCGTGACTTCAGGCAATTCCATAGAGGCACTCCGCTATTTTGAACAAAACTATGGGAAGCCTTGGAATGAACTAGAGGTCAACCATCCTCCAAAAGACCCTTGTGGGGACTGCATAGTTGCTTGCATTATTGAGTGGGGGCACAGCCAGTCACTGGAGAAATGGTCAGACCATAGGCCAGTGAATTCCTCACGACGGCTGGGATAAAAACGTTATTCTTAGGTGCTGAGGATACGGACAGCCATACTATCCTTTAGTTTACCATGAGGCAGAACTTGACCACTGCGTGTTATTGGAGAGAATTTGCTCCGATTCGTGTGAAGTTTGCGGGAAAACAAGCGCGAAGAACCAGGGCAAAACCACAGGAGAATTCAAAGGAACTGGCCAAAAAATTGCAAAAGAAAAGGCAAAACCAAGTAAGCCTGCCAGTGAGCGATGAAACTCAAAGCTTTCCAGGAAGAGGCATGAGACTGCTTAGCGTATGGCCTAGGCCCTAGGCCGCTTCCTTGAGAAAGTAAGGGCTTAGCTCTTGCCAGCCTGTAGGTAGGACTTTCTGTAGATTTGCCCAGTTTCACCTGAGAGCTTGAGATAGCCGACCAACGTTGTGAAGAAAATTTGTGCCTGATTGAATTAGTTGCAGCCCTGTTGCAAGCTATCAGCCCGTGTACACATCATGTGACGCAATCGCATGTATGTTGTGCTCGCTCTCAGGTGTGTAAGGACTCAATACTCGAGTAGCGCAGAAGAGATACCCGTCTGCCTGCTTTGATGTACAGTACCCTGCTTCAGAGTTACTACACGCACCTACACGCACGGGTCAATCTCGGGGGGTGGGGGGGGGGGTGGGGGTGGGGGGGCGGTGGCCCCGGCGGCCGGTGGCGGTGGCGCTGGCGCTGGCGGTAGTAGCGGCGGTGGCGGTGGCGGTGGTGGTGGCAGTGAAAATGGCAGATGTATTGGTGTCGGGGCTGCCGCTTGTAGCAGAAGTGCTTATTGGAGTCATATTCTAAGTCCTAATGCCACTGCAAAGAGGAGCAGTAGCACAAGTAGTAGTCGTGGTGACCACTTCTGGAGTTGCGCTCAGTAGATGATTTCATATGACTTCATACAAGCTTGTATATTCAGAATGCCCTGCAAATTGCATGAACAACTTTCTCTGTCTTGCAGCTCGAAGATCCATTTTTTTGCAGCGATTTCCGCGGAAGAGTTTGCCTGACAACACGGCCAAGCCCAGAATTGCGGACTCATACACATGTTGTAAGAAAAAACCTGTGCCAAGCCAGGCTGCTGCCAAAAAAGACGCAAACCTCTGTGAGGTCTGCCCGTCCCGCAATGATCACTGCACGCAGCAGATTGGACCGCGCGTCCTTTGCACAGTCCATGCTGACTATCGAACTCCGCTACCTGCAATCCGAGCAGCCGTCAATGGCGCTTCCATAGGAAGCTGCGAACCTCACACCAGGATGCATTGCACAAGCGCAATCGCATGCAATGCAAACCATTGCAGAGCCTGGGCACCTGTGATAATCACTGGCTTGGCGAGGTTCTCAAGCATGAAACTGAGCGCAGATGCAGTGTAAGCCATGGTGTCCTAAGTTAAGCATGCTGCTGGATGATTCTGATCTAGCTTTGTACCGAGCAGAGTAGACAGTCTTTGCAAGCTGAGTGGCTGTGCCATGCAAGACCTTGTGGCAACACGCTTCAATCAACTGCCCCAAATAATGGTGTGGAAGGGCGAAACCCGTCTTTAAAATCTCACCCAGCTGTCACGACACCTTCTATATGAACCGGGATGCTGGGGCTGTGTTGCTGCATAAAAACGACTTGCAATCAGACCCAGACTTCCCTATGACGTGAGCGACCCATCTGATGTATGGCATAATATGAAGCCCAAGCAAATGGGGGTAGCTGCGCCTTCGAAAATTATGACGTTCGGAGGATCCGTTTTATTTTTTTATTGTTTCCTGAAAAAGAATCGGAAGCATCAGATGATATCAGATGCCAAGCCGAACTGCTAGAGAATAGGGTACAGCAGGCATTCTCCCCAAAATGACCGGCGCACCCCCATTGAGTTGAACCACTTGAGAGCAACAACGAGCGCCGGCAGCACACCAACCAAACCGTTTCGTGCACCGCCATGCTCGATAAACGGGGAGGGAGGGACCCACTTCAAACACGCTCTCTATGAAATGCCCTTTTGGCCATCTGCGGGCGGCATCAGTTAGTTCAGTTGTTTGATGCGAGGGGCGCTGATTGTTGCAGGAAGAGCTACTGAAGGAAAAGAGCTGTGATGAAAGTCAGGCGACGACAAAGCCATCAAAGTCGTAGTAATGGCGCTCGATACATGCAGCCATTGTACACCAGTCCTCTGGACACCTTCCAAGATTTCCAAGGGTTGAGGGTTCCCACTCATCAGCTCTAGTCGTCTCAGCCGGGACACATGTCAGCCGAGTCTAGAAGCGGGTCAAACTCGTCAAAGAAACACTGGGGAAACAGTTCCTTCAGAGCGCATCCCCAAGAATCTCCAAGCGACCCAGGGCTCAGCGCTGATGAAGAAACTGCAGTCCTGATTGAGCTCATCCACAGACTGGAGCCGCCTCTTCAGTGCTCCATGAATGGGAGCTAAGCTCCCATCTTCATCACGAGCCATGCCAATCGTGCCACCAGTATACCTTACCATCGCACAACCAAGTCAGGACATCATGTCAGGGCGAGTTTTCGTGGTAGGGCCAAGCAAGATCTCATTCCCCTTGTAAAGCACGATACCCAAACGGACCAAACGAAGAATGTTTCAGGCACCATAGCAATCCCCATTCAAAATATGATGATGACTTACCTAAGACTAGAAAACAAAGTAAATATGATGCGGCTGCGGTGCAGTATCAGGACCTTTCTGAGTGCACTCCTTATTGACATCACAATTTCGTGCATGTTTCCTACTGAAGGTTATTAATCACATTGGTGGTTGGCACAATGGTGGGGACTATGACTATGGTACATCATTTTCTGTGTTCCGGAGCTCCGTGCCAAGCGTCCCATGCGGATTAAGCAGTTGCGGGATGTCTGAAGTGCTTGGCGACAGCGGGGACTGCTGTCTCACGTAGCCAGCCGAGGCATCCAAGGCAGCCATTGCTCAAATCTGGATGAGCCGCGAAGCACATGTGTCTCGAACCCTTTACTGTCGTTGCACATGCTGCGTTACTGCAAACTCTTAGCGAGGTACAACACCTTGTCATTTCTCGTTGCAGCTTCTTCTACTGGCCATCCTCGCTGAGATCCGTTTTGGTTCTCACTTATCATGCCACCTTGATGTCTGTAGCAAACCTTGCTGGCAGAGCCTTGTGAATGCATGCCACAATTTGGCAGGATCGAGCTTGCAGACAGCCAATTGAACTCACAGGGACTGCCAACGAAAAAAGTTGAAGACACAGCACCAGCGATAGAAGAACGGGAGTGGCCAGGCCTGGGGATGAAGATGGAGATGACCGGGAGATCACGAAGACATAGTAAGACGACAAAGGTTGATGGGGATGCCAATAGTATCATCGACGCTGCCCAGGATGACGACGGCGGTGCGGGCTGTGGTCTGGCCAGCACCATGATCAATGACTACGTAGCTTGATGAATGGCTTTGGCGGTGATGATGAAGATTCCGAAGATGGTAGGATGACAAGTGTGCTAAAGGCAGGGTAGACAAAGGCTCGAGAAATTACGAACAAGAAATGTCTAGCTTGGCCGATGCTGATGAGAAATCATCACCGCAACGGCTGCTCCTCAATCACCGTGACCCATGGGCCATCATTTCCGTAGCGAGTCCCTCAGGCTTGCAAAGCCACTCGAACAAAGGATGCAAATTGACATCGCAGGGCGGTGACCTGAAAGAAGTTCAGCGAGAGTTGACTTGCCTTGGCATCATCGATGCGAACTCGTGCCGCTGTCTGGCCTTTCCCCCTACCGCGGACCATAGTCTGCATTTAAAGCCCTTGTGTGCCAGGGAGGCTCGGTTGCACCACCACGGCCAAGAGAGTAAGGAAGAAAGGCAGCACGATCCAATTCCACCGTTTTGACCAGCAAGGCAAAGCAGAGGCGAAACGCTGCAGACTGGCATGAAAAATGAAAGGATAAAGCGGACCATACCCATCACGGAATATCACGGGGACGATGACAATGAAGAGATAATGATGACGATGAGATTGATGATGATAGCCACAACGAAGGCCACGTGTCATTTCACGGCCAAGATGTGTCCACTCCACTGATGCGGCTGAAGAGGACCAGGAGGATCAATGCCAATGGCATGATGACGTAAGCAACAATGAGTGTCATGTTACGTTCATAGATGGTCATCAATAACAGCTATTAGGTAAGTTAGATGACAATAATTGAAAACCGAGATACGATATGATACATGACATGTTCTGATGGCGTTAGATGCTCAACAGGAGGCTTGTGAGCGTCATGCCACGTCAGGTCGATGATTGCAAATCCTGCATATCGATAGGGGATGACAGATCACCAACACAAATCACAGATTTTGCTGGCATCTAAACGTCAATACATGGAGCAACGCATTATAGAAGGAAAACATCACTGACGGGTTGGGCTGACGACTTCCATGGCCAGACTATGGCCAGAAATCAGGGGCGGAAGAGGTTCCACTCTGAAAATGAGCTATTCAGAGTTTTCAGCGGCTATAGGCCCTCGCTGTCAAGCAACCAGAAATCAAAGACTCGCCAAGTCAGGCTTTGCAACTTCCGCACCTCATCCTGTTGCGGAGCCAGTGCCATGACCGGAATAAAAGAGGAGGCACTCCTTGCATGCACACTCTTCATGACAAGCATCAACAGAGTTGTCAAAGCACGTGTGGAACTGCAATAGACAAGCGTCTGGATCATGTAGTGGCCGCCCAAGTATTCTGGTGTTGCTCCAACAGGGACTTGAGATTGATAGACCTTCAATCCCACTTTGGTCCAGTTTCCGATTGGATCCACTTGGACCTTCACACAAGACGCAGAAGCTAGCCAAGTTGGCAGCACGCTCAGGAAATGCAACAACAAATGTATTCACCTGATGAGCTTCCCTACGAGTGGCACAGTAAGGCAATGCTCGGCCACGATTCAAGCACATACTGCTGGGTAGTATCAAAACAAAAGGATGCGGACGCGCCTTGCGCTGTGTAAGTGCCTGCATCAAGGACGAGCGCCGTGCCTGTCAAACTGGCAACGGCGGTCAGTCAGTCTAAACATAGCTACACTGCGCCTGCCGTGAGAAATACTGAGACCACTCTTTGACAGTTCGAACGAAACCCTGAAACGGAAGAAGGTGGGCACATAGGCAGAACACGCACCCAACACGACATGTCACGACATCCAAGCATTATGAAGCCGCTTGAATTTAAGACAGCGTTCGTCCTCATGCGCCCTGGGCGACGAAACGATTTGCGGTCGCCGGTCGCCATCTAGCCACGCCAGATACCGTTTGAGATGACCCCTAGCCACTTGGCTGGATCCTGAACGGTGCCAAAATCAAGTACTGTATGAGTTCACGAGAGAGCAGCCCACATGGATCTGACAAGCACCATCGTCGTGATTGCTCTGGCTCCAACTGTAACTTTGGTTGCATTTATTTTGCACATATTAGCACTGAAATAATACACTAGACAGGTCTTGGAAGAACAGAGACAACCTGCTGCTCGCCAACTGCTTAAGGCTCTCATGATGGGAGCCTGGTTTGGCCTCTCAATGATTTGCTTCTGTCTTCTGCGGCGTGCCTCAACAAAGAGGCTCTCCATTGGCATTTGGGAAATTCGTACCGCCTAGAGTGGCAACGACTGGGACAAGACTGCACAAGTAGTAGATGAAGTCTGGCCTTTTTAAAGCAACTGCTTGAACATGGCTTTGGTTTAGAACTTGCTTCGGAACAAGCCTCCTGTTGGGATGCAAATGGATGCAAGGCTCTTCGCGTACGGCAACGGCAACCCCAGAGTTCGAAACTGGTGAGAAAAACGTCAGCTGTTTGGACATTATCTATCTCGCACATCATTCCGCTGTTCTGTGTAAAAACTTGCGATAAGCTTGCAAGCCTGTAGGTAGTCACTGCAGTCGATTGAAATTTGACAGCACGCGCACGTCCATGGAAAACATGCGAATGCGCATCAACTTCGTGTTGAAAGGCCCATAGGCCCAAACTCGAACGTTCAAAAAACAAAATGTTGATTTTGGAAAGCAGGAAATTGACTCGATGAACAAAAGATCGAGCGTCCTTTTCTCACCTGTTCAAGCAGTATACTGGTGCAGCATTCACACTTCAGTTTGACCCCAGTTCAATGGCTTGCAAGCTGAAAAGAATCCTGTGCCTTGAGCGTGTTTGTTCTCAATGTCAAAGGGCGCTGCTGCTCATTCGCCTGAGGTCAAGCAGAAAAAAGCAATAGGCAGCAAATTGTCTGCTACTCGTTTCGATCGTTTCGATTGTGCCCAACATGATCTGGCTGCAGCTGCCTCGAAAAATTTGATGGCTGTCTCTGGGCTAAACATCTGCAGGAAGTACTCGGCCAGCTCTTCAGAGTATCCGAAGTACGTGGAGCAGTTCGAGACCAGGCCTTTAAAGACCTTACTCATCCGCTCAGATCACGTCTACATCCCAAAGCTGGCATGGTCGTAACCTCTTCCCGCGTGCGCTTCTCACCCAACTCCTGCCTTAGCAGCTCTCAGCAAAGACACAAACAGCTGGTTTCAAACTGCGAGTGCTTCAACACTCATTTGAACCTGGAGCTTCTCTGCAAATCATTTAATGACGCCAAGATGCGCCTTCCGCCACTGGCTCAAGAGGCTGGCATCATCCTGTATCTCTTGCTTCAGAGCGTTGAGATCCGTCTGCTTGCCTCGCACAGCGCCCGGACCGCTATGGTGCTCTTCCACGAAAAGGTGACGACGTTTTGAGCTCAGAGCTTCACAAGGCTTGCAGTGGCTTACGGACATGGATTCATGGATTCTTCACTGCAGAGGGTAAGCTCCGTCAGAGTTCACCTGATCGGATTCTCTCTGATTGGACTTGAACTGCATGCTTTGACCTGGCTTGATTTGGTTGGGCTTAGCATGCTTAGCGTGGCTTGCACGGTGAAGATATACTCACTGAGGGTGAGCGTGAAGGGAGCCCAATCTCTTGCGAATGGCAGCATTCGCCTGCCACCAGCTCGACCGCAGAGGTTCAGGTGCTAGCTAACCCGCCCACAACCCGCCCAGACTACATCACAAGTGCTGTCATGAAGTTACTGTTGCATGCGGTTTGCAGAGTGAATGGGCGATACGAGCATGCTATACATGCGTATTTGTGGCCTAGCCAGTCTCTCTAGTGCAATAAAGAGTGGTTAGAAAGGAAGACAAATGTCAATCCCAAGCCTTCAGCAACTCGTGCCAGGATACGTGACCCGAGCTGGGCATCACCACCCTCATCAAAAAACAAACTGCAAATCAGACCACGCTCCTTGCATCCGTTCTCTGGGCAGGCACTTCAGCGCTGCCTCGTTGGTGTCATCCAGTCTGTCCATAGAATCATTTTCGTCATCATCCGCCTGATGCAGCGCCAGGACAGAAAAAAAAGCAAGCTTAACATGATGATTTGAATGAAGGGGTTGTGCTCTTCACAAGCTAAGTTCAATTGCGCTACAAGCTGCCTCTGCGGCATCCAGCTCTTCAAGAGCCTCATCCGCGCCCTCCGGTTCATCCTCACTGCCGATGCCCAGCCTCAAGCTGCCAGAGCACAGTTTGAGAGGCTGAATGGCCATTAAAGCTCTGCGGCTCATCTTCTCCTTCGGCCTGACTTCCCAACCAGTCGTCCTGAATGAACAAGCTGAGGACTCTCACTGAGCATCACTGGCTTGAAAGAAGCAAATCAAGAGAGCTCCTCTGCTTTGATTGGGGCAGCATGCTTGGTCTTTGCCTTCTTTTTGGGTCCTGCCTTTTTCTTCATTGCCTTGATCCAGTTGGAAATATCAAGCTGCTTGATCAACGAAGCCCCAAGAGCAAGCTGCAACTGCTGCGCGGCACCATGATCAAAACAGCCAGGTTGCCCAAGCGGGGGCACCGGCAGCAGAGCATCAGTCTTGCTGCCGCAAGTATGCTGCGTTGGTCTTCTCTTGTCGAGCATAGTCAACCCTTCAAGAGTACTTGAGTACTTCTACAACTGACTTGCCATGGCTTTACCAAGGCCAGAAGTCATGACTGCTGTTCCAAGGTGTGCACTGGCAAAACATGAAGGCGCTTGAGAGCGAACAGCAACAATGCACATCTTTCGGGCCAGAGCCACTTATAAGCAGATCAACCTTTCACACGGAATAACTGTGTGCTCCCGCCCTCAACATCGGGGTATCCCTCTTTCTATCACTAAAATACAAATTCAGTACGACAGGGACAAAGGACTTTTCATAGATTATAAATCATTTTCAACCATTCACAGCTTGGCCCGAGTAGGGCATGGCAGATCAACCACATCAACAAACAGTCGGCATGCTCTGGTAAGTGCACCACAGCTGCATGACATTCAGGCGGCTCTCTTTAAAAGATAGGGGGTCTCTGCCCATGTTTACAGAAAATTGTAAGCACCCTAACCATGTCTGCACCTAGCAATTGTTTGCTTCTGCACGCATGATCTCTCCTAAAAGAGGGCGACGACGTTTCTCGCTGAGGATTAGTCGCTACACCAATGCTACCCTGGTCACCATTCATAGAAAGTTTGTCAACGCTCAGATCTAATCGATCTGAACTCGAAACCCAAACCCTGCCCCATCAGCCGCACCACTGTCATGGATCCGTGAATGACGTAATCCACGCTCTACATTACTAAAACTCCCTAGATTTAAAGAAAATTCTCGGGACCGAAAATATGGTTCAAAGACTATTTTAAAGGCAGAGGCACTTTTTGAGCCTTTGACCCCCTAGATTTAAAGAAAATTATCCCCAAACCCTAAACAAATATGGGACCAACTACATTTTATGTTCTAGAGCTTAAACTTACACCTCAAACCTGTTCTGTGGTTCTAGAAAAGTAGTAGTAGCAGTAGCAGTAGTAGCAGTAGTAGCAGTAGTAGCAGTAGTAGTAGTAGTAGCAGTAGTGTAGTAGTAGTTGTAGTTGTAGTTGTAGTTGTTGTAGTAGTAGTAGTAGTAGTAGTGGTAGTAGTAGTAGTAGTAATATTAG